CAAAGATTAACTAAAATAGGTTCTCTGTCTTCACAGAATTCACAATGTAATATGGAAACACAGTACATGTACAAAATTATAACATACAAAATATGGTGAAAAGAAAAAGCTATCGAATTACAGTAGAAAATGAGGCTACTTAGAATCATAGACTGCCCAACCACCTCATTTAACAGATGAGGAAACTGAATCCCAGAGAAGAAAACATCAAAAGTAGAAAGAACTTAAGATTCCTTTACTTCAACCTCTCCATCATAAAGAATAGGAAACTGATAGCAAAGGAGGTGACAAGATTTGCCCCAAATGCCACAGCTACTTACGGGCAAATCTCTTTAATTTCCTGTCTAATGTTCCTACTATGCTATTCAACTCAACAATTATTAAACACCTATTGCACACATTGCACCATAGAAGCAGCATGGCATAGTGGACAGAGTACTGAACTCTGGACCCCCTCAGACTCTCTCTAGCTGTGTTGGCCCAGGCAAGTTTCTGAACCTCTCTGAGGCTGTTTCCTCACCTATAAAATAGGGATATACATATATACATACACATACATATGTGGTGTAGGTATGTATATGTATATATATATATATATATATATATACACACACACATATACACACACCTACACCACACATTTGTTATGAGGATCAAATGAGCTAATGTATCTGAAGGAATTTGCATACCTTCAAAAGCTATATAAATTTGATGATAATGATGATTATGCTCGACATTAAGTAGACTTAGGCAATCTTTTGGGGTAATTCTTTCCTAGGGTAGGCAAAAATTTCTGGTAGACACAATGAAAACGGATATCAGAGATTCTCTTCTCACTCTATTTTTTGTTAATTGAATCTCTACCAGATATTAATATAAGAGACAGGTACAAGAATGGCATGGGAAATGAAAATAAGAAAATAGAGGGAAGTTCAATTTGGGATCTAGTTTCTCTTTTATACCTATACAAGGTACAAGATGATTTTTACTGTGAAAAACACTGAAATTTGATTCAGGGAAGCAGGGTTCAATTCCTGCCCCTGGCTCCCTATATGACCTTGAAGAAGTGACATCTCTAACCCTCATATTCCTCATGTCCAAAATGAGAGTTGGCTTAAACAGCCTTCGTGGGCCCTTTTGACACTAAATTTATGTTGTTTAGTCATTTTAGTCATGTCCAACCCTTCGTGACCCCATTTGGGGTTTTCTTGGCAAAGACACTAGAGTGATTTGCCATTTCCTTCTCTGGTTCATTTTACAGATGAGGAAACTGAGGCAGAGTCAAATGACTTGCCAAGAGCAACACAGCTAGCCAGTAAATGTCTAAGGTCAAATTTGAACTCAGGTCTTCTTGATTTCAGGCCCAGGGCTCTATCACTGCACTACTTACTATCCTCTTCTAATCAGAATCTCTGCTCTAACCACTAAAAACCTGTGTAACCTTGAGCAAATCATTTAAATTTATTTGGGCCTCAGTTTCCTATGCATAAAATAAAGGGGCAGACCTAGATTTTCTCTAAGTGTCCTTTCAATGATAAATCCTATGATCCTAAATCGAGAAAAGAGGAAGCCTTTCATTTGGAAAGGGGATGGAGGCAGTAGACAATGTAGGCCTGTGATTTCAGTAGTGAGGGAAACTCCAGGTGAGGAAATAATATCAATGCAGATAAGCAAGTATACCTCAACCTCAAGAGTTGCCTAGGGGACTCAGAGGGTCAAATGACTTGCCCAGAGTTACAAAGCCACCATATAGCAGACAGTTAACCTAAATCTTCCTGACCCAGAGGCCAGCTCTTCAACCACTACATCACAATGTCTCTCAACTCTTCCTTATTCTCTCTATAAGAACAAAAATTGTGGGGCTCTAATAGATACTGCCTATAATAAAATTTCATATGTGGTTTATAGTTAACAGGATTTTTTGGATCACAGCTGAAAAAAACAAAAATGTTCTTTAAGGGCAGATACTGTCTTATTTCACCTTTTCATTCAGTCCTTAAAATGGTACCTTGTATTGGGGTAATTGGAGGGTGGAGTATGGGGACAGAATGGGAGCTGGACTTTGTCACAGGGTACACCTGATGTGGGAACTCTCTCCACCGACACAGATAGAAACCTATTCTGCAATTCACAGTCTTAGAGTGGTCTGGTTCACTGAGAGATTAAGTAATTAACTTGTCCAGCTCAGCTGGCTCCAAGGCCTGCTGTTGGTCTACTATGCCATGACTTAAACATATAATCACTTGTTAAATGTTTGTTTAACCAAACTAAATTAACTAGAAAACGGAAGTAATCAGGATCAAGAAATCTGGAAATGATCAAAGGAAGGAGGTCAGGTCCTAGAACACCACGGTTACTGAGAAGGCATCAGTGTTTTGGGGAGATTAAAAAGACCCTAGGGGCAGCTAGGTAGCGCAGTGGATAGAGCACTGGCCCTGGAGTCAGGAGGACCTGAGTTCAAATCCGGCCTCAGACACAAAACACTTACTAGCTGTGTGACCCTGGGAAAGTCACTTAACCCCATTGCCTAGCCAAAAAAAAACCAAAACAAAACAAAAAAGACCCTAGTCCAAGATTTTTAAAAAATCCTTAAATTGAAAGCCTGAAAATACAATTTGGAAGGATGAAAAGCTAGGATTAAGACCCCACTGATCAAAATAAAGTATAAGGTGGAGGGGGAGAGGGGGTGAAGGGATGGGGAGTGCAAAAGCATCAGAGAATATAGTGTTCTGAATGGAGTAAGTTGGGGAGAAGTCCAGGAAAAAAGAGGGAAAGCAAGAAATTTTAGGTTTACCAATGACAAAATGTGAGAATTCTACAGCCTAAAAAAAAAAAAAAGGCTGGAAGAGTCAAATTGAAAAGGTTCCATCTTGTTCCAAAAAGGATCCACCACTCCTACCCCAACGTTCACCTCCACATTTCAGAATCATCTTCATTCAAGGCTGAGCTCAGATGCCACCACCTCTTTCAAATTTTTCCAAAAGGTTCTGTATGGATCTCTCCTTTGCCCCCAAAACTCCTTGCACTGTACTATACTGCTGTATGTATGTCACATCTGCTTGCTCCTGCCTCCACCCCAGGAGATGTAAGGGCAAATATAAGATGTTTATAGACAAGGTCTATGTTATTTTTATTGTTGTATCCTCAGCACCTTCAGCTTCAAGGCCTTTTATAACAGTGATTTGTTCTGTGAAGTCTGGATTCAAAGGGCAGCACTCAAGGACCTAAAGGGCCACATGTAGCCTCGAGGTCACAGGTTCCCCACCCCTGAGTCCTAGAAGGTGCTTAATAAGTGTTTGCTGAGGATGAAGTCTGGAGAGGAATGGCTTCCAGGCAGGAACAGTTATCAAGACTTGAATAATAGACTCCTGAAAAAAGCAAACCAAGACTAAGTAAATGTCAAAATGAAGTGGAGGGGAGGAGGGAGAAGGGAGGTCTATCAAGACCTTTTATCTCTCTTAATCAACAAATCCCAGTGTGAGGACTGAGACTCCAACAGAAATCTGATCTCAGATTGCTAAGAAAGAATCCATGCATGTTACTCCTTCACACACATGCATACAAGAAGAGGTATCCATTTTGCAGTAGCAGAGACAACTTTCATGTTTTATCCTGGAAGGAAGAAGGCTTCCCCATCTCAAATTCAGCCAATTCAATACAACAAACATTTATTAGACAACCTGCTATTTGCAAGCCACTGTACTAAGCACTGGAGATACAATGACCAAAAATAAAGTCCCTGCCCTCAAGGAGCTTACATTCAAATGTGAAGATACAACACATCACAAATAAGTACAGAACATGAAAAACTAAGGAAGCAGAGAGCATTAACAATGAGGAGGAATCAGGGAATACTTCACCAAGGAGGTGGCACTTAAAATGAGCCCCAAACATGAAACTGATAAACAGAAGAAAAGAGGTGTACAACCAGGCTCAGAAAAGAGCTTGGCAGAGGTGGACTTAGCAGAGTTCGGGAAAGACTAAATGGTTCAATTTAGTAGGAATATAAAGTTCATGACTTTATGAGGAGTATGAAGTAAGGTTTAAAAGGTAGGCTGGAGACAGATTGTGGAAGGAAGACCTTAAATGATAACCTAAGGGGGTTCTATTTTATTCTAAAAGTAATGAGAGGACACTGAAAACTTTTGAATAGGAGACTGACGCAGTCAGCCATTTGCCTTAGGAAGATTATTTCAGCATTTATGTAGAGGATGGACTGGAGAAAGAAGAGATCACAAGGAGGGGGTGGATAGTATCAAATGAGAGTTAATGAGAGCCTAAAACAAACATGGTGAGTGAGCATGGGAGTGAGGGAACAAGGGAGGTGTTTGGGTCCACATGTCATTTCTAGGAACCAGAAAAGAACAATCCTATCCCAATCCTGTTCTGGAGAAAACTGGAGGTTAGGGTAAGGAGGTGTTATATCCCCGTTTCTAGACTCCACTGGAGTGTAAAACAAGTATCCTGGGCCTCAGCTAACAGGAGGGCTGGAGGAGCCCTTGTCCAAGACTCTGAGTTTGGGAAGAGGTCTAGATTGTGTACTGCAGTTTGGAGGTGCAAAGGATCTCTGTCTTGGATTACAGTTAAGGATTCCTGTTTCAGTTTCCAGTTCGGGGGGGCCAAAGGGGAGGGTATCCTTCTCCCCAAGAGACAAGAGAAGAAAGGAGGGAAAACTGTCCCAGAGTTCCATCTTAGCATATGGGGGAGAGGAGCTTCTGTGCAAAGTTGGAGATGGGGGAAGAGGAAGGGGAAGGAGGGGTTTCTGTCTCGGATTCCGGGATGAGAAGGGGGAAGGGGAGGTCCCTCTTCCACACTAATTGGTCGGAGTATGGGGTTGGGGGTGACAGGCAGGGCTCCACATCCTGAGAGGGCGGGAGGAGTCCCTGTGCCAGACTCCGGTTTAAGGACGACTCAGGGTGGGTCCGGGGTCCGGGGTCCGGGGTCCGGGCCCGGCTGTCGGAAGGGTTGCAGGGTTGGGTGCCCCGGGCCCCACTTCTCACCATCTTGACGATGCCCCGCTGCAGGGTGGGGAGTGCGGGTCCCCCAGAGGAGCCGCCGCTCTGCGCGGAGGAGGCCATGGATGGAGCAGAAGAGTTTTCCGGACGATCGGCTGGGGTGTGGAGGAGAGGCCGGCGCGGCGATGAGACTGTCGGGCGAGAGGCTGGGACGGACAGACGGACGGAATCGGTCCACAGCAGCACCAGCAACCGGACTGGAAGCAAAAAGGGGACGCTACAGCGGCCGCCGCCACACGTTCTACTCGCCGCGCAAGCGCGCCAGAGACCTGCCACCCACCGCCCAATCAGAACGCCCGGTCCGCCGGAACCCAAGCCAATCGACACTCTGTTGGCGGAGCCCCGCCCCCAGGCCTCGCAGCGGGATGAAGGAGCCCAGCGGCATTGACAGAGCTGATTCGCTGTGACGTCACGAACTGAAGGGTGGGACTTCCGGGGGCAGCGGGAGGTGGTAGAGTCTGGAGGGACCCGGCGGCGTGGTGGGGAAGGGAAGGACACGTCAGCATCTGGCCGGCGGGGCGCAGGGGGCCCTGGGAGCAGGGAGGAAGGCGGGGAGGACAGCCCCGCCCTCTGTACACGCCCCACCAGACCCCCGCCCCGCCCCTACTCACTTCTAGATCCCCTGTGAGAGGGAGAGAGATCCTGGGAGTCTAGCGGACCGGGAAGGAGTGGAGCGCTCAGAGTCTAAAAAAAAAAGTAATAACTAAATTTAAAAACTGAAGTCCTGAGGGAACTTACAGGCGTTCCGGCTTTATGTCAATAGAAGCAAATCACGTGCAGAATAATTCACAAATCAAAGATTCACTCAGCGGCATTCAACTGAAGCCGAGGAAGGAAGGACGCTCTCTCTCCTCTATTCCAGGCTTTTTACAAGCTCAGTGCAGAAACCCAGAGGAATGGCGAGCGTGATCCCAGGACTCAAACTGTGAATTGGAAACTCTCAAAAAGGAAATGGTGACAACGTGATGCTGATGACAATGGACCCGAGGAAAACCTCGGGGAACTCCTTTCACAGAAAAATCTCTCTGGTTCGTATTCCCTACCCAGGAAGAGCTGTGAACTTGAGTCTCTGCCTCCTTTTGCTTCCTGAAAATCATCCTTGGCTCCCCTACAAGCCCTCGGGCTAACAAGAACATTAAACTTTTATTTAGCAATTAAAAAAAAAAAAAAGGATTCATACCTGAACCTGTAGAAGTCGGGTGGAAATCTTCCACAGGGACTCATCCAGCATATACAGTTTAGTCTTTGGCTCCTTTGGCTAGTTCTTTGTCCCCTGCCATGCCAATCTTTCTCTTTCCCACCACCAACCTTCAGTTCTCTCACTCCAATGTCCGTTCATTATCCCTATCTGGCTGCTTCCCTTCAGGAACTTTAGTATAGGCATCTTTCTCTAGCTCCATGTGTAGCTTGATGTCAAACAGATAGCCTGATTCCTGTCAGCTTCTTCCATTTGAGCTACTTGCTGCATGTATGAAACAGCCTTCAACCGAGGGCTCTCTCCAGCTTCACAAGAAGCTCTAGATTGCTGTGACAGTTCCCATGTGCCTGTACTCGGCTATACCTGTATAGTCTCCATTATGTAGAAGTAGCTCCCTCTTGCAATATGCTTCTAACTGGATATTGTAGACATCTCAAACACCTGCAAACAGAACTCATTATCTTTTCCCCAAAATCTAGTCCTGTCCCAAACTTCCTTGCAAGTATGGAGGGTACCACTGTCCTTCCTCTCACCCAAATTCACAATGTTGGAGGAGTTATCTCTGACACCATTCACCCCACATATCCAATCTATTGCTAAATCTAGTCATTTCCTACTTCACAACATGGCTCTAATATGTTCCCTTCACTCCTCTCACATAGCCACTGCCCCTAATTCAGGCCTTTATCATGTCTTACCTGGATTACTGCAATGCTCTTCTATTTGATCTCCCTACCTTAAGTCTTTCTCCACTCCAATTCTTTTTCCACAGAGCCACAATAATTTGCCTAATATACAGATCTGACCATGTCTTCTTCCTACTCAATAAACTCCAGTGATTCCTTATTTCTTCTATGATCAGATATAAACTACTCTTCTCCATGCACTCTGCAGGCTGGCCTATATACTGTTCCTTACACTTAGACACTCCATCTTTCATCTCCATGCCTTTGTACTGGCTATCCCCTATTCCTGATGGATATTTCCTTCTCACTTCTATCCTTTGGAATCCTAGTTTCCTCTAAGACTCTACTCACACATCACCTTCCACATGAAGCCTTTTTTATTCTTTTTGTATATACAGTATTCTGTGCATACTATATATATATATATATATCTATATATATATATATATATCTGTTGTTCTCCATTAGAATGGAAACTCTGTGAGGACAGGGACTTTCACTTTTGTCTTATTTATCTTATTCCTTATTATTTCAGTTATCCCTAGACATCCTCAAGCATCCCCCATTGGTATCATATGTCAGTCTGGTCACTGGCCAGAAGCTGTGGACAGCTTTGGTGTGGTTCAGTGCCAATTCTGAACATGCAGTCTTCCTATACTGTATGGGGAAACAAGTTTCCTCAGACCCACTGGCCCCTAGCCTCAATTCTGGAAGGTAGATGTCTCAGGCTGAATGAAGTCCATCCCCTAATAGATAGTATTAACATAGGTGGCAACTATTCCCTTGGGACTTCCAAAGCCAGAGGATAAGGCAGAAAACAAGTGGCCTGTAAGTCCAGGCCCTCTCGTTAGTCCAGACAGTGTTTCTCTCAAACTCAGGCATCCCTGCCATCTTGCTCATTACCCCAGTAATATAAATTCAGCTTGTTCTTCATCCAGATTTTGGCCCACATTCTTTCCATATGGTTTATCTCTGTATTCCACTATCCAGCTGGTGAAGAGAGCTTTCATGGGACCTAAATCCTTGATCCTCTTGTGTCCCTGTCTTCTGTTCACTAGAAAACCCAATTAGTTCCCTTAGAGTCAACAAGTGGTTTTGGTACATTACCTGCCCAGGCACACAGCCAACGTCCTTGGTATGGGATGACTTACCATCTCTACCCATTATTTTTGGTTTTCCCAGGAAACTAAATTTTGGTGATGGGACTCTATGATCTGGCTGAAAGTCATGATGGTGAGCTTGAGCATGTCTCCTTTCTATGCTTCACTGACCTAAGGCTTTAACTAAAGTATAGGCTAACCTTTTAGTCAGAAGGCATACTGCTTATGTGTCACAGCTCTAGATCATCCCCATCCTCTAAGACTGCAAAATGCATGGTTACAGGGAGCTATGAGTCACACTCAAATCTGTGTTCCTTCAATACTAAACCCCATTTAAAAAAACAAACAATAGTGTTCTCCTGGTGATCCAACAGGGCTGGGGATTATGGAATACTAAAATTTGTGAAGAATCAAAAATGTAAGTGACCCAAAGGACAATAGAGATGCACATATTGAGTATGAGTG